AGAGAGAGAGAGAGAGAGAGAGAGAGAGAGAGAGAGAGAGTAGGCGTTGCGGGGTGTAGCGGTGAGCGACACCCCTTCCGCGTTCATTCCGTATAACCTACAATACCTACATGAGATATAAAGAAGACACGCGCAAGTTTCGCATCTCGAATCTCGAATACGTTTCGAATTAAACATCGAACTGGTAGACGCATACACGTTGATACGCGTGTATACAAGGTGGGCAGGTGAAGAAGGCAGGAACAGCTGCTGGACAGCTGAACAGCTGGACCGATATTCGTTTCCAGGTAGAGCGAGTCGAGTCGAGCGAGTCGCATCATGGTCCAAGGATATAACTGTACGTTACGATACGGACGAGGACGAGAAATCGACTATTTCACGATTCAAAGGGAAAAGATGGATAGCATTCTGTCTATCGAACGATGAAACTATCGAACGAAACGATGGAAAACAGGTGGTTTCGTTCGAGCGAAATTCATCACCTTCGAGCAAAGTGTTGAATGCGAAGCAAAGTGGTTGGGAATCGCGTCGTGCTTTCGCCGGAATTATGGAACGGAATACGTGTATAGATATACTGTAGTACCTTTGGTATTTTGAAACCATTTCAGATGTATATAAATTCATACGTATACGTATACGTGTATACGTAGATGTATAGGACACCTTTGTCATTGGAAACCTTGAAGGATGGATCGTTTTTCCTAAGGTTCTCACCAAAGTTCGAAAGCGCTGTGTACTCTGGTACGTACACTACGTGGAGAGTGTCGAGAGTATAAAAAAAAAAAAAACCCCGCATAGATGTGGTTTATACCCTTAATCGCAATTTCACTTCCTCGAGAAGCATAGCGAACTGTAGAATTGCGCAATTTATCGCGTGATACGGTGACTCAGACGGGTGAAATGCAGAGCGCGGGTGTTCCACGCGATAGATGTGTAGATGCGGAGAGTGCGAGAGCATGTAAGTTTCGCAAGACACAGTTCATGCTCGTGTAGGCGAACGTTAATTGTAAGCACTTACTTTTCTCTTTTAAATCTCTTGTCCTGTTCTGTTTCTGGGAACATCTCGAACGAGAGCGCAATCGCGCCCATCCATGTTCTATCCCTACATATAATCTATATATAATCCAAATACGAGTAAAAAGGAAAACCGAACGCTTATTCGATCATTCGTTGATCTATATACGTATCGATCTTAATATTTTGCCATAATTAGCAATTAGAGGCAATATTTCGTCATAGCGTTTACTCGTATTTTTCTAAATGCGCATCGAGTAGACGGAGGAAAATCGTATTTAGTATTCCGTTGCTGTGGCTAGCATCCGGTTAAGTGGCGACAGCCGCTCCCACCGATCGCGTGCGCACACGAATCATGTTAGTCGTCGTGTTGCCGCGATTCTCCGATTCCATTTCATTTTCTCCATCTCCTATCCTTGACGAGAAAGGATGGGGTCAACGATGATTTCGCCATGATTCTAGCAAACGAGCCGGTACATTGCGGAGATTGCAATGTTGATGCCTACTTATTTCCTATTTATTCCAATTTTATTATTCCGATTTATCGTATTATCTTTTCTCGCGATTCAACTCGATTCAATTCGGTGTATTGTTCGTGATCGTTTTTTATTCAACGTAAACAACACGTTTGACGATACGATAAACGTGTCGTGATTAAAATTAATCGGTCATCTGAATGCAGACGAATTATAATCGCGATAAAATTCATGGAAAAACAGCTTGATTGACGAATGATGATCGGAACGATACGCGAGATTTGGAAGAAAGAAAAAAAAAACTGAGTAAAAATAAGAAATGATGATCGAAAAATGGAATGAAAAATTGATCGTTCAAAAATCCAGAAGGAAGGTTGATAAATAAATAGGCGACGATAGGTTGATTTGCCAGAGTTTGGGAAGCTACGAGTACGTAAACAAGCGCGAATACACTGACACATGCATCGATATGTACGGATGTACGCGAATGCTTAAGTGG